CGTGATGGCCGTTTTCATATAATGGCTTTTAAATATGAATATGGATACATGCCTCCTTCATTTACTGTTGGTTATCAATTATTCCATCTTTTATTCCTGTGTTCTCAGGTAAATTAAATAAATAAAAAGAGTGATAATAAAAGTGCAATGATAGATTTGACATTCAACTACTCTATTTTTCTTTTTCTCTTACTTTTTTTTTAAAAAAAAAAAAGTTTTCAAATACTTTACGTATCAAGTATTTACCAGACGATGAAGCACCATGTTCAACTTCTGGTATTGTGAATGTAAATGAACTAAGTTCAGTTGCAGGATCAGATGATTTGGTTGGGGGACTATTTATTCAATCTCTTGGGAACATTTCAAGGTTAAGAAAAACGAACTTGGATATAAAAGATAAAAGAGACTTTTTGGATTATTATTATTCACTTAAAAAGAAAAAAAATACATCAAAGAAAAATAAATAACTGTAGTATATCAAGAGGAAATTATCAATTAGTATATAGATTATTTTTATACAAAATAATAATAATAAAATAGCACGTGTCATCGTTTATTTTTACTAAAAAAACTCAAATCATAATATATATATATATTTACATTTATTGTTTACAAGCAATGACAGTAATCTATTTTCATTACTGCTGCGTGATGGGTCACTTAGATCATTTTGAAAATCGATTTTGGCTCTGATTGATTAAATATTTTTAGCATTTTTATATCACTTTTGGTAACAAATTAGTTGACGCTTTTAATATCAAATTTGACATTAAAAATAGCATTTTCTTTTTTTAAGTTTTAGTATAAATGTTCGACTTTTTTATTGTTGAAAAATCGGTTTTATTATAAGTTAAATTATTTTTAAAAAAGTTCAATAAATGATTATTTTTATAATCAAATTCTTTATTTTACTTCAATATTGTTAATCATTATCTGATATCATATTATATTTGACTTTATTCTAATTATCTAAACTTAGTTGTATCTACTTATTAAACAATTTATTGGTGCTTAACGACAACTAAATAATATTTTTAACTATCAGTCGTTTTTAAACCTATAAAAGGAAACTGTCAACTATGGTATTACCAATGGCGCTCCTTAAAACTGAATACTGCTTTTTGAGGTAACTGCTCTTGGAGTAACCACTCCATACAGTAAACACTTTCAATACTTTTCCCTACTCTCTCTATACATCAAATAACATCGTTAATTTTCTTTTTTTTTTAATATAGTTAGTACCAATATTTTTTCTCTTTTTTCCACTTAATTGTCAAATTTTTACAATAAATTAGTATCTACTAAATAATTGTTAAACCTATCCACATTATAAACAAACTTCAGAAGTATATCTTATTTTATTTGACTTTACTTACTCAATTATTGAATCTATTTATTTTATTTATCGAAACGCTTTATTTCATTTTATAATATTTATTTACTTTATTATCCTTGAACAATACTGGTGTAAATCATTTTAAATTTTTTTCACTATCTCTATTTTACTTGAGGATCATTAAACTTTGGTTTAATTATGTTTATTTTATTATACTTTTACCCTTTATTTCATTTATTTTTATCCCTTTATATTAAGTCGTTCTACTTATAAAACAGGGACTGGTGCTCACTAAAACTTTATTATACACTTTAAATATAATTCAAAATACTCATTCTTCGTTTTTAAAAATAAATCTTGACCAAAAATTCATATACAAAACTATATTTTTTAAACAACAATAAAAATCCATAACATTATATATTATTTTTTAAAAAAAAATATAATATAAAATGCTTGCCAAGGATTTTTTCTCGCTTTGATAAATGTTTATATGATTAATTAAATAATATAATATATATGAATCTAATCCATAAACATAAGTATTGGTTTTTATGTATAACTAACAGGTTGCTTCTTGACACTATGGTTAATTCATTAATTCTTAATAATTTAATGTTTTTGAATAATTTAAATAAAGCTAATTTATTATAAATTTATAATATATATATCATTTTCAAACAAATGTTAATATTTAGTTATATTACACTTCGCTTTCTGTGCTATTAGTTATTATCATTTTTTTCTTTTTTATCTTCTTTTTAAATACTAACACCAATCGAATAATAAAATAATAATAATAATATGAGAAGGTGAATGGGTGGAAACAACCAATATCACTAGCTTGTGTAATATTGTTAATACTTTATAAATTCGTATTTATATCAATTATGAATAATTTTTCATTTTAAAAATATTCGTCTGAAAATATATATTTAAAAAAAGTCTCTATTTTATCGAAAAAAAGCGTGGAATTGGTAATAAAATAAAACATCAGAGTTACTTATTATTATTAAGCTCAAGAAACACGTCAATAAATATTAAAAATATAAAATAGGGAATTAGAAGAAAGAGAAAAAGTTTTAAATAAATAAAGCCCATATTTAGAAATAAAACACGTAAGTTACCGTTTGCATCGTGAGAGTGGAAACAGATAAAAATGCTGGCTTGGATTATGCCATATATAAATCAACTGTTAAATAAAACATCATATGAAAGAATTTAGCCGTTCATTTACCCTTATAGGTATTTGATATTTCATGGTAATATTATAAATAACTTTTAAAATAAAATTCATTTTCATGAGAAGAAACCCATATTACATTTTAATTTTAACTAACAAAAATAAGCTGAAATGTGTAATTTTAATCGTAACGGATATGGAATAGAAAAGAATAAGCAATATTAAGCCTAACCCTTCATTGCTTGTTTATATTTTATGCATATTTATACTCTCTAAAAAAATACGGTTAAAGATATATAAATCTTAAATTTTTTACTTTTTTTTTTTACTTTCATTTATTTATTTATATTCTCGTATAAAAATGAAATTTGGTTTCTCTCTTTTAATTGCTCTTTGCATGGTATACATAAGCGCTGTTCAAGGTCAAAATTAAGGTGTGTGCTTGAAAATATGCTTTCCAGAAGATTATAAATGTCCCGATAATATGGTTCTAAAACAGAATAAATCTTGTTCGTTATGCTGTTTTAAAAATGATACATCTAATTGATCACCATCTTATTATCATTAACTAATGAATTGATACGTAAAGCAAACGTTTATATAGGAATTACTTAATTTAATCTTGAATAATATTTTAATAAATACTTTTCTCCTTTTTTAACACTAATAATATTTAATATTTGTATATTGAATGGGAATAAAAATTAAAAGCTATAATGTATATAGCTAATGGATGTTATAGCTTTCAGGATCGGACAGTTAAATATTCCCTGTATATAGTTTTTTTTTTTTTGAAAGTCAATATTGTATAAAATAATAATAATGCTACCCCCCCCACTTCTTTTTTTTATAATTATTCGACACATGCAGTGTTTTTTGATATCGGGTACTATTAGATTTATATATGACTAGTCATTATATACTCAATTTTTATACCAATATTATAGACACTAAATTAATGATATAGTATATAGTACATTAGCAACATAGTATAAAGAAGTTATTTATAAACAAATACAAAAGTGAATACATTTTATATTTTAAATAAAGCAAAATGTAAATAGTAACTTAATGGCAGTCCATAATGCATATAAGAATAAACTGAATTTAAAATTATTTATATAAATTTTGTTGCCTGAAAATATTATAATGTATATTCAAGATAAATATTTATGAGATTAATTATGTGATATAATATATATGAACCTAATCCATAAATATAGGTCTTGGATTTTATGCGTAACTAACAGGTTGCCTCTTGATATTATGATTTACTCATTAATTATTAACAACCAAATAATGCCTATTTATTATAACTATATTAATTATATTATTGAAAATATAAATTTATAATATATAAACCGTATCCAAATAAACGTTAGTACTGTTACGAAATGGGTTTGTTTGAATCAATTTAAAAATAAAGTTTAAATTATCCTTTTATTTCTTTTTATTTTATTATTTTATTATTATTATTACTTACTTTTATTCCTTCTATTTACTTTACTCTTTAGCTTTGTTAAAATGGAAATAAGATTCATACTTTTCACCTTTTTCCGAGAGGTAAAGAGCATATACACGTTTGGATATTCTGCTAAAGGTAAAAAAAAGTATAATTTTTAATTTTTACTTTTTAGTATAAATACTCGATGAATTTTTTTATTTTATTTATCTAAATTAAGTCCTATTTACTGTTGATAATAATACTTTCTGATTCTTTTTCGTTCCTTTTTTGGTCTGACCTTGTGCTACTGGTACAAAAATACGAAGGTGCTTTTGTTCCTCTCCCAACTCATAAATTTTTTTAATCTGTCAACTTTTATAATAAACTATTATCTACTAAATAATTATTAATATTGTCCACTTTATAAATCATATTTTATAATTTTACCTTATTTTACTTATAACTTATTCAAATTATTGAATTTATCTATTTTTTTTATAACAAACTATATTATTTTATTTTAATTTATATTTTTATATATATTTACATGAATATTTTTTAACAACTCTAACTTAAATTGTTTTTAAATTTTTATATTATCTTCTTCATTTTAGATTGCGGTTACTGAAAACTTACTTTAACCCTGCAATTATATTACACTTTTAAATTTTTTTATATTTACTATATCTCTATATTTTATTTTTTGTTTTGTTTTTATTCCTACATTAAGTCGTTCTACTCATAAAACAGGAACTGGTGCTCACTGGAATTATCTTATTTATATTTAATATAAATACAAAATCGCTTATTTTACTTTAACAAAAATAACTCTTATCAAAACCACGCACAACACTAAACTAAGTTGCATCTACTTATATAAAACAAGATACTGGTGCTCACTGACAACTAAACTAAACTATAAAAGGAAATTCCACTTTCTAAACACTAAAAGAATCCACAGCACAACTAAAATAAATCTGTAATAATTGTAATAGACAAGTTGTGGTACATAAAAGAATTATTTAAATAAAAAATGGTGGTAACTAGGAGATTCGAACTCCTGCCTTCATACGAAGACGGCAACTTGAGTGCCGCGCCTTAGACCAACTCGGCCAAATTACCCTTTTTGGTTTTGTGTTCGATTGGATTTATTTGATAGAAAGCAATAAAAATACATTTATTTTTTATGAATTAGAATAAAGGTTATTTTTATTTGAACTGTTTTTTGGTTCAAGTTTCATATATATATTTAAATATTAAAAAAATTAATATAATAATGGTTATAAAATTATAGTTTAAATAAAAATGCTAGCTGAATGGAAAGTATGATCATAATAGTTACTATACTAAGTATTATAATCATAAAATGAAAAGATTTTTTCTTGCTTAAATTTTTATTTAAGTTCCGCATTTTTTAAAAAATGAAAAATAAAAATTTTGACTCTTTTTCCTTTTTCTCACTTTTTTTTTTTTTT